ATCTGAATATGATATTTCTATCGCTTTCTCTTTCTATGTCGTCACAATGAGTAAACCACAGCAAAAATGAACCAATCAATATGCATGCTTTTGAGTGCGGGTAACTAATACTTGCACTCCAGTTAACGCACTGTGCATGTATAATGTATACGATTTAACACATTTCAACAGAAAGGTCCTCTAAACTATGATACAATTCTTTTTTATTGTCGGAAAATGCCAAATTCCTAAACATATACCGACTACTCTATAATTATCAAATTCTTAAAACAATCAAAAGCAAAAACATATTTCAATTAAACATAATCTTCTTAGTTTATTTACACGCAGTTACAGTCACATGATTGTTTAGACATTTAAAACTATGTATTTGACATATATGATACGACTATAAAAAGGAGTATTCACAGAAAATTCTTACTTATCTATATAAATGACATTTGAAAATGTACACAATACATGCAATAAGCACATATTATTCCCTTTAATCGAAAATTGTTATGAAACGTAATGATGAGTGCAACAAAATCATGCTATAAAGTTAAAATCTAAGGAATCGTTCCAGGTCATGATCACAGGTTAACATTTGGTTTAATAAATAAAATTGGAAATGGTCAAATGTTTTTTGTTATAAAATCACCAAAATCAAGCTTAATTCCATCATGAAGTATTACCTCATTTGTTCAATGTCTGTGCAATTGTTAAGGCAAAATATGCATAAAAATGCACGTATTACTCTAATATGGTTGCACAAAATTAATTGTATTTATCTGTTAAAATAACCAAATTCAGTTCCAGGACTTATATCATTTATATCATTTATTAAAAATTGTTTGTTTGAATGATTTACAAAAGATGAAGGAATTATACATACTTAGATAAAAATATATATATATTGAACTTCTTTCGTATTTACCTTATTCCACGTATTTTAATTTTACAATGTTGCCAATTAGTCATTCAAGACATTTTCATGAGAGAACTGTACAAATGTTGCTATTTTTTGTTCTGTCCTGTATCGTTAAATTTATCTGAGTGAGTATTTTCATTGATGAAGTATTTGCTTTTAAAGCAATGTAAACAGTTTTAGTAACACGTTTTCTTCAAATACTCTTAATACATAGTTAACAATTTCATAAACTACAGTATCTCATGCAAATGAACATTTTTGGTATGCATTTAATAATTTTCCATTTCGTTCACCATCAGTACCGTCATTTCCCACCGATGAATCCGCAGATTGTTGCAAACCGAAGAGATGCTTTACTAAAATTGGCATTTTAAAAACATTAGAAACGGTAGAATGTTTCGGTAAAGGTGGATCAAAGCCATTATGCCTTTATTTGTAACAGAACGAAAATATACTTACGAATGGTGGAAAAATACATCAAGTAACTTAAAATTCTTAATTTCAGTATTTTTTGTTTTATTCCTATCATTTTATTTCACAAAGCATTCGTCTTGGACATCAGTTTTTCAACGTTTGTACAAATTGTAAGTAGAAAAAGACCAATGCTATTGAAGTGTATAAGATAGAATAAAACAGAATGGAATAATAATAGATTTTGTTAACTAGATAACAATATAAAAGTATTTTGCTTTTTAGTTTCACCAGAAAACATTGACGTTAATGTAAGTGATGTTCTGGAAGGAAAACATGGTAAGGTTCAATGTATTGCTAAGAACAGCACACTACAGTCAAGGCCGGAACTTTTTATAGATAGCCAAAATGTTACTAACATAACGACACAAGTAAAAACAATAGCTGGAAATTTGTACACTTACAACACGTCGACAACAATGCTATTTAAACGGCTTAATAAACAGGAAAAAATATTGTGTTGTAGCACTGTTGATGGCAGTATTTGCGGAAAGACAAAAATCAATGTGTTGTGTGAGTTATTATTTATATTGTTTGTTAAAATCATCACCTAAAACGGATGAAGATCTTTCTTAAATTTAAAATATCAATTCTAGTCTCTTTCGTCTCTTTCGTCTTATTCTGCTACGCTGATTATGTGAGGTATATTTCCTGATATAAACATTTTGTTTATTTTTATGTGAATTATATGTTAAATTAAGTTTTTTTCATTTGATATAAACTGAGCTTTATAGAAAATAATCAAAATATGACATGCAATTTTGGCCCTAAAACTATAATGTAAATAGTCTTGATACAGGTCAAGCAAACAATGTTTCGTCTCAGATATCTAAGCTCTAGTTTGTTCCGTTTCATTAAACCCAGGGTGGGAATTATTTGATTTTCGGGTCATAATTTGAACAATCATAGTATAGGTTCACAATGTTTTATGCAAAACATCTAAAGTTCTAGTCTTTGAAGCTTCAGAAGATAATATTTCTGTAAGATTTTACTACAAGTACATAATAAAAATAAAAGTCTCGTGGCAGGGCCAATTTTAACCCAAGCGCTATAATTGTTTTAACCTTTTGGAGATCCACTACACAATTTCCCATGCCAAACATCTTAGCTCTTACCTTTTCATTTCAGAGGAAAAGAGTTTTTATTTAAGATTTTACTTAAAGTATATAAGAAAAATGTTTTGCCCTCGGGGCAAATCCAATTTTGACCCAAGTGCAATTATATTTTGAACAAACTCGGTAGACGTCAACTTTATAATGTTTCATGACAAATAATTTAGGTCTAGCCTTTGTCATTTCAAAGGTGCATTTTTTTAAAACGTTTTTACTACATACATAAGCAATACCCGTGACCCTAGGGCCAGGGCCAATTTTGATACTAGAGGCATAATCTAAACAACTTCGATAGAGGTATACCAAACAATGTTTCACGCTAAATATATAAGCTCTATCGTATGATATTTCAGAAAATGAGATTTTATAGTTTTACCATAAATTATGTACATAATGAAAAACAATGAACCCTGGGACAGCAAATATTTGGACCCCAGGGCTATATATTGAACAAACATTGGTAGAGGTCCTCCATTGGACGATTCATGGCAAATATCTAAACTCTTGCCTTTGTCATTTTATTTCAGTTTTAGAAGGAAAGTTTATGATTTTCCCAGTCGTAGGGCAAAGAGTGTCACTAGAGGCAACATTTTAACAACTTTGGTTAAGGACTATAGATAATATATTATTCATGTACCAAATATCAAGGTTCTAGGCCTTGTACTTTTAGACAAGAAGGGATTTTAAATTTGCATTTCTGAAAGTTATTTTCTGGCCATGTGCCCTATTTATGAAACAGACCGAAACCGTTTGAACAACTTTTTAAGGAGTCCGCAGGATCATTCCTATACAGTTTTGCTAGTGTGCAGTCATTAGTTTCAAAGATGTTGTTTAAAGTAATTGTTGACGCCGCATGAATCACGACGAATGACGATTGACGTAGCGGGATCGCAAAAGCTCACCATGTGTACGTTGTGCTCAGATGAGCTTAAAAATTTATCAAAAACAAAACTTCGTGGTTTAAAGACCTGGGTTGTAGTTGTAGCTAGAAATTAAATAAGAACTGGCTATGTAGTTGTTTTAAGCCCATGCTCTGTTACAAAAGACATAATTGAAGCAAGATTTTGATCAAGCAATTATTTCAGAACATTCTCTAACGAAAGTTACATTATGCCTAAAATTCAACCGTCTTATTAGAAAACTGAGCATCTGTAAACATTAATGCTGATAGAAATGATCATGACATTAAATACATCCTTAATTAACTCTTGGAAAATCATGCGTAGGTGTTTGTGTTTTACTGAATTTATATAGAAAAAAGAACACATGTTGCAGAAAAATAAATCGTCATCGTGTTGGCATAATTTCGATTTTTAAATAGATTTTTTTAGAAATGTAGAAATAACGTGTTTTTGTTCAATTTACCATCTGGCTTGATATTTTGATGGTTGGTACAAATGTTTTCTATTATTATAATGCCAAAAATGCATAAAATATTTCCATTGATCATATAAATCTTTACCTATACAGTTCCACCAGAAAATATTAGTGTCGAGGAAATTTCCAAACAAAATAAAGAAAATGGCGACACCATGATAACATTGAAGATCTCCGTCGCAGAATCAAATCCAAGAAGTAACATTGTCTTGAGAGGAATTAAAAATGTTCAACGTAAGTTGGTCAATAAACAGAATGAGCGAAACAATGAAACATATGGATGGACATATACAGCGGTAAATGTAGTTCAAACATAAAACGTGTTGCTTTGCTTCATTTATTAAATACACCTGATCTTTTGGTTCTAAGAATTAATATTTTAATGAATAAATTTGACTTTTATGAATACGGGATTAATATAAGAAAAAACAGTTTGAGTGAAAACTAAATAGAATTAAGAAAAATCGTTTCTGAAAATAAATGCGTAGGCACTCGGCTCATGCTAATCTGCTTACAAATATAATAATTGTGACAAATCTCAACAGACTTAGTTTCTTGCTCATGTTTTCCCATGTTTGTTGATCTGAATTGTCTATACTGTGCAGCAATGAAAAACAAGTTCTCATTTTGTTAGAATAATATTGTATGCTTTGTGGCAAAATATCTGTTTCAAAATTAATTGTCTAGCAAAATATTACTTAACTTAAACAATTTTTAATATTTCTTTTCAGATCTGGAGCTTCAATTTCACTAAAGATGATAATTTGAGGGAGATTATATGTGAAGTGAAAAATGATGATTTTCCTCATCTTGATTTAAGCTATAGATACAAACTTAATATAAGCTGTATGTTGTTTGCTTAATTACTCCTTTTGCTTTTGAGTATCTATGTTCTTAACTTAAAATATATTAGAAAGTTAGTTAGCAAATATTTACGCTATGAATTTTATGTCTAAGTCATATTTTAATATTGTATAGCATATTCGAACGGAATTTCTTTAAATGCTAAGTTGAAAGTTTCAATAAAACTATATTTCTTTGAAACCCATGCGTATTTTGACCTAATAATTAAACAAATTATCATTCTTATGTTGTTTTGTATGGTATTTTTCCTTATTTCAGACTATCCCGTTACTTAATCAGATAGAGAACAAAAACTCGTTTGCCTTGGTGAAGATGTTGATTTGGTCTGTAGTGTGGACAGCAATCCCCTTTCAAATCTCTCGTGGCACAACCAAACCGGCATTATTGAAGGTTTCATGCAAAAAATTTATTGTTCTAATGTCGATATTGCCATGTACACAAGACCGATCTATGTTAAGAACCTGACTTCAAATAATTTAATTAATTAAAAAATTAGTTTGATATCATACACCTGTCATTTTACTTACTATTTAAATCACATTTGAAAGCCATTTCAACACCTTAATATGTAGGTCACTTCTGACTCTTATATTGTCAAGAAAATAATGTTTGATTCTACGTATATGTTGGTATTATGCTTGTATGTTAGTTTTGTTGCATTAAAAATAACGCTTGTGCTGTACGTAAATGTCATATGATGTCACTATTGTTCAGCTTTACTGGGAAAACCACATGTGCGTCGTAGTGCATTATTTTAGAGCAGACAACCAACTTGAACCACCAAAATTGTGTTGTATAGTTTCCAAAATTAAATGATTCATAGTACAAAAGATGGAATGTTAATACATAGCGGTACAAAAGAAATCGTTTGAATTCAGCGATTTTTACCATTTGTCCACAGTGCCACTATGATCATGTAATAAAAACATAATTAACGCAATAGATCGATCAACATTTCAAATAAAGTTTATTCACTTCTTTAGAGAAATTTGGAGCAAACAGAATTGAGCTTCGTTTAACAAACGTTTCGACTGACCATTTCCAGACGTATAGTTGCAAGGCACATAACGGAATTGGTGGAATTGTAACAAAAAATATAACGCTTATTGTGAAAGGTATTATTTGTTCACCACATTCTTTGATGTAATTGTTGATGTAAAAGTGATCTAGAAATGAAATAAACTTAAAGCAGTGCGCTTTCTGATACATTGTTATTGGTAGAAAATATGGAAACCCTCAAGGGAATCACGTCTCTGGGTGTTCAATACTATAAAACAACAATTATCAATAAGTTATAATATTTTGAAAATGAGTTTTATCACCTGGACATGTGTAGTTTAACAACATAGTGTTACCATATCTAGATACATTACAAATTAGAACATTTAAAACAAACAAATATTCCAAACGATTTCTCGAGTGTCTTTAAACCCTTGTGTTATGGCACACGTTTCTGTTTGTATTGAATCTATTAACATTAAAATCACAACACTGTAACATTTAACTGTTAAGACATCAAATCATAGGTTAAAAAGCATATTTTCCTTGTTGTTTCAAACATTCCATGCAACAGCCTTTTACTTTTCCTGATACAAAAATATGAAAGTTTCTTGAAACTGACTTTTTAATACCACTTCTTGATTGGTCTTCGAAGTTTAGGTTTGTTAGTCTATCTAAATGTGATAATAATATAAGTCATTTAAGAAATAATCCTGCCATATGTTTTGCAAAACATTATCACAATACGTTGTTTTCAGCTAAACATACGTTCTTATAATTACTCATATATAACAAAAAAGGAAACTAGGTTATTAAGTTCCAGAATCCCTGTATACTTAGTTGAGAGGTGTTCAATTTCAAAAATAAGTTTTATCAAATATACTATATACTCTTATATTTTGGCCATAACCAAATTATTGACATGAAAATCATTTCATATCTACATTATATGAATCTGTAGAAATCCAAACTCGCAAAATGAAGTTACCATAATTATAAACTCATGCAATATTCCATATCTATCAACTAAGAAAATTAATTAATGTTTTCTTGGATCGTTCAAACCACATAGCATTATCAAGTGTAATTTAGTGCTAAAAAATTACGCAATTGTGTGATCATTGTTACTTTATCTCAAAAGTACAAGTATATAAATGTTCACTAAAAACAACACTATCAAATCATCCTCGGAAAATGTTTACATCTGCGGAATAATTCGTCAACAAAAAATCAAGAAACAAATTAGAGACAAGCAATATTTCATTTTTATTCAAAATTCAATGTATATGTAATGTATAAGGAAACGATGAATTAGGATCAAAACATTGTAACACATCATTTCAAATATTTGTTTCTAATTATAAGGCCAAGAATGCGATCTAGTTCTCATCAATTGTTTTAGAATATTCTTGTATCTGGACAGTACATTTGTTATTGGCAATCAAGATTTCTTTGAGCATATTTGATTATGTTTGAACTACATCTACTACTATGTCTGGCCGACTGATAGGTTACGCAGTAAATATATACGTTAATCTTTTTCGATTTTTATCTACAAAACAGGACTGAGATTGCTCTGAAAAGTCATATTTCGTCATAGATTTGGAAAGTAAATTGTGTCCTGATGAACATATATATAAATTATAGACACAAAAGAAAGACTCTAATGAGGAATTCTATAATGATCAGTTTCAATAACGCTTGATTGCTTTTCTTTTCTCCCTCAGATCCATCAGAAATTGTAATATCCGAGGCAATAAACCCATCGGCCGAGTCAAACATTGCCTGTATCGTGGTACCGATTATAGGTTGTATAAGTTTTGTAATTCTGTTTGCGGTTATTGTGGCTGTAGTCATCCATGGGAGACGACAGAATGCACAGACAGGACGAACATTCATCAAATTGAAGCTGAAGAAAGGAAAGCGTATGTATATCGTATACATGTACATAGAATCTCGATTCAGCATTGTCCATTGTATCACTTTGTCTTAACATGCACACTTGAGTCCTTATTTGTCTACTTTATCCCTTGTGTGCACTTATGTAAGTGGGCAATATCATGATAAGTCAAAAGCATATAAGACCAAATAATGAGAAGGACATGAATATAATTATTTATCATTTTATTTTTATGTTCTATGTAGTCGATAAGGCTTAAATCTTAATAAGCATTTTTGTCGCCAACACAACGAAGGGCCTAAGGCGATTTTCTAGCTTTACTGGTGTGGGGCCTCAGGAAACTCTCCGTGCATGAGGGCACGATAAGTCACCTGCGTATAACTACCGACGTTCTTTAAGCCAGCTGAATTCAAATACGCAAGTGTTTTGATGAATTTGAGTGAGAAACCTTGGCAATTTCTCACAATGCAGTGTATACGGGATGTGTTCTTTGTTTTCCTACCACGGAAGTTATATGCAAATAATATGTCCTTACCATGCTATATTTTCAGAGAATTACATCCTTCTGGAAACGGTAAGCGAACTTGAACATTTTTGCGTTTGCAGGTGTTTAATATGTGCATAGAGAAATTTTAATGACAACTAAACTTTCAATCCTTAACTAATTCCTCTGCATGATGTAAATACAGGATATCATATAAGCTTTGTTATGCCAATATCCCTATGATTTTCATAGATTGATTGTCTGTCCCGTTTCTGCAAAATATATAGTAGGTCGGCTATAACAGTTACAATTTTGTCATTTTTTGTTTTGGCAACAAACAAATTAATATTGGGTTGAACTTTGTTACAAGTAAAATAAATAGCATCGAAATACGAGGCTATGTGATTAGTACAAGGGGACAAAGCCTCTTCCTCTTTAGCACCATAGGTCAGTATAAAACACATTTCCTGCTATCACAATATGAAACCCCTGAAATAAGGAACCAAAGAACGAGCATCTGAATTGAATAATATTATGATATTTCTATCTTAATCCCTTTCTCTGTCGTCACATTATGTTAACCCCAGAAATATTGAGCCAATCAATGAGCATGGTCTGGAGGGCGGGTAACTTATACGTACCTGCACTCCAGTAAACGCACTGTTCATGTATGTGTAAACGATTTAACTCCTCTTGACACATTTTCAACAGAAAAGTATCCAAACTAGGATACAAAAACTGATGCTATTATTCAACACCTTTCTTTTCATTATTTTATCTTATATCGTTTTCTTTAAAATTGAGTGTTTTTCAATGTTGAGAATGACTTTTGTTACGTTTTGTAACCGATTAAATTCAAGAACTTTGTCAGAATAGGCTTATAAGACCACAATTAAGACTTTTTCTTATCAACCTATTTTTTAATCAGGTTTGTTATTAAAAGGCTCAACATTTTGTGAAATACATGCACATTTAGTATGTCGCTATAATTAAACACGAACAATTCTGTTACAAGTATATCAGTTTAAACTATATTTATTTGAATTTCGAGTGATATGTCTCGTACTTAACTTTTATTTGTTATATTTTACTTGTTCTTCTTAATCATTGATTCTGGCACTTTTAAGTGGTGAAAATTGAGTACCGCTCAAGCCGGTGCTAGGGGACATGAAAGATGTTGTGCTTCTTTCAATATCCCTCATGTACAGACTCAATCAACCAGAGTCTGAAATTTTCATGCAATTTTGCTGTTTAAATGCTTCCGAGGGATCACTTTTTCCAGTTATATGACCAACATGTTAAAATTGGCGTCAAGAAATATAAAAACGATATTAAAAGAAACTCCGTTTTGTCATGTCATTTTTTTACTTTTAAGTGCCCATAAACAACAGCTTGTCAGAGTCTGGAAACGCAGCAGAACCGCCAGTATACGCATGCGTCATTCCAAAGAAAGACAGAGGGAAATCCCATGCTAATAATGCGACTGGAAATGATGCAACTAACAAAAATGTAATCATTGAAAAACTTTGTTATATTTATTTTCTGATATTTGATGTATTGAACCTAATACAAGGCATATAGTGTTTCTCTCTTATTGTGCAAAGCAAAGTTAAAAAATCTCATACGGTATTTTTTGCACAATAGGGTCATAATTTCAGTCTGTGATAGTGGACTTTAGAATTGTTTCATTCTTTATTGTCTTTCATCAACGGACCCGAGTAAGCCTGCAATTTTCTTTAACCCTGTAAGATTCTCCTTATTTTAATTTTTAACTTAATTTTACTTTTTTAAAATTTATAACTGTAATGTATATTGTTTATTGTAATATATTTAGGTTCATGCAAATTTTCGCATTTCGCATGCAAATCTCTTGTTATTTGGGAAGAACGAAGCAAAATCAAGGGTATGTGTGTATGATTACATTAAAATTTTACAGAACGAAAGGGACGACAATCTGGTGAATGCTGACCTAGATCTAGCCGACTATCCTGACCTGGTAGCTAGGCGACCTCTTGTTACCATGCGACAAAGTATGTCTCAATGGAAACAGGACGTTTTGGCCCCAAACCAAATGGATATTGAGATCTCACGAGGATATCATGCTGATGCAACTTACATCCCAGAAAGGTGTGTATAAATATAATCAACTTTTATAAACATGAATTTATAATTATTAAGGAACTTTTGTGAAAAATAAAATTATTCAAAACGTAACATTTATTTTATTAGATAAAGGTACATCAGCGTGCTAGCATTTGGATAATTATAAATATTTTGATAATCATACAAAATACTGGAAACAGGCAAAATATGAATGTCTCGAATGTCAATTTAAGATGAAATTTTATTTGTAGTGATATGGAGGGTGCACGAATAACCGACATTATAATTGAGGACAGCGGTGAAGTAACATACGAGGTTGTCGAGTCTGGTAGTAACCGAGGTTGTAAGAAATTGGTGTCCTCCGATGGATTTTCCTTTTGTGTTAAAGTAAGTTTCTATTATGAAATGTTAAACAACAATAATATTCTGTTCAAAATTGAGACCCGTTCGACATAAACATGTAACATACAAATTAGTTCAATTTTGTCTGAACATATAATATTTAAGCATGTTAGCGCTAATTGTGTTATAACTTGCGACAAAATTAGCAAAATGTAAGCAAAGTAATATTTTAAGTTACATACAAAATACTCAATCACTATAACTGTACCTCGATATAATCATGCCTTTTGTTTCCGTAATTATTTCATTATCTTTTTGTAAACAGAGTAGGAAAGATCAAGAATCTCGAAGGAACAAGAATATGACTTGTAAAGCCACAGTCTCCCAGAGGGACGAACTATTTATAGCGGGGAAATTTGAACATTGTCACCCAGCTGACAGCAGCCTAACGAAGAAAGTTAAATTACGGAAAAATGTAAGTACCAAGTGTATGCCAAAATATTTATATTATAGTAATGCGCAAATGGAAAGATATTTATTTTTTTATATTATAGATATAAACCAAATATATAATCAAAAATAAATGTCAAAGGGAAATATTTTGAAACGAACACATTACAAACAGCCTTCTTGAATATTAATATCTTTACTTTACATTATTTTTCTTTAGTTTAATTGTCTTGAAACATTTTTAACACGATCTTTCTACATAGGTGAAACAAGCTGGCAAAGAGAACATATTCACTTCCGCCACAAAGGTAGTTGACCTGGAGTTACCAAGAACTTTCAGTGGTCAAGATTTCAATTTGGTCAACACAACATCATTTGCTAGAGTTGTTAACCGCACCAGAGCGAAAATCCAGATTTCCTCATCGGGGACCTACATGTAAACGGCGCTCGCCATCTTCTCTTTGCCACTGACAGACAGCTTCAACTCATGAAATCATGTCGGCGCTGGTTCTTGGATGGTACTTTTAAGATAGTGAATGAGCCCTTTTCTCAGTTATTTTCGATCCATGGTTTTTTGAAAAGTGGTGACTGCATGAAACAAGTTCCATTTATGTTTGCCCTCATGACCCGTAGACGTACTGAGGATTACAAAGCTGTTTTAGAGAAGGTTTTAGATGTTCTTGGTGGTGAATGCGATGTTCAAGGCTTTGTAATGGACTTTGAAACAGGTAGGGAAGCGAATACTTGTGAATACATAAATTCATTCCGTAAATTAATATGATTTGTAAATTAATATGAGGAATCGTAATCCTTGAAAAAAAAACACAACACTTTATTATATAAACCCTTATTGATATTTGAATTGGTACTGTATTGTACTATTTCTATCTGACACGACATACCCTAGTTCTTCTTAGGCATGTGGAACGAAACCGAGTTCCGGCAAATAGAAACGTACATGTTCATCTATTAAAAACGAATGTAATAATCTGTCCAATGTATTCATTTCCTGTGCATTTATACTAATTTTAACTTTACAGCAATGTGGCAGGCCGTCAAGGACTTTTTCCCAAACGTTTCCATAAAAGGGTGCATCTTTCATTGGTCGCAGGCAGTCATGAGGAAAATAGGAAACATTGGGCTGAAGCAGACGTACGAGGGAAGACAGGCCATACATTGGTATATTACGAGATTACTGGCGTTACCGTTCCTGCCAGCTGAACACATCAGATTTAATTAAATACGTAAATATGAATATGCTGTAAAATTATAACGATCGTTACACATTGAAAGAAAAAGAAAAAACAACTACAACAAAAACAGACAACAAAAAGACACTGTTCACTTAAATCAACATATGCAGCGGGTCTTAATTTACGGCTATAAAACATGTGAATATCTTTTGATAAGCAAAAACGATAAACATAAAAAACAATTCAATAAATCAACTATAACATAAAGGATTAAATTAATTGTTATATTACCATATACGTGATTATACAATTATTTTGAATTGTTACAGGCTACCACCGTAGAAATAATGGAAAGGCCGGTAGAGGGAATGTCCAGATGTATGTACTAATTCCCATTTGTACGCGGAAAGTGAACTGGTATCCATTCAAGCACAACAAGTCAATGAACACTTACTTACGAGGTACAGACGTCCCAAGTATCGAAGGCTGCATGAAAAACTAGAGAAGCTTTGGGACGCCTATGACACTCGGGAGTTGATAACCTCGGATTTCCTCACAGAGGTTGCTTAAGTGTACATGTAAATGATATAAGTATGCTCATGTACTGTGCTCATGTACTGAAAAGGAAAGCTATAGACACTATACTACAGACTAAGACTAAGACTAAGTAAAGTTGTTTAATTGTAAAATTGCAAAAATGTTATTTATAAAAAGTGTCTGTTCACATTTGTTTCGGTTCAAGTAAAATTGTTTAACTGTTTCTTAATTGATTGTTTGTGTATTATATTTTTTCAAATAAAGTTTATGTTCTGTTCTGTTTGTATTAATAAAATATTATCTATATATGTTGTAAATAATTGTTTGTTTGTGTATTATATTTTTTCAAATAAAGTTTATGTTCTGTTCTGTTTGTATTAATAAAATATAATCTATATATGTTGTAAATAAAGTTTATGTTCTGTTCTGTTTGTATTAATAAAATATTATCTATATATGTTGTAAATAATTGTTTGTTTGTGTATTATATTTTTTTTAAATAAAGTTTATGTTCTGTTCTGTTTGTATTAATAAAATATTATCTATATATGTTGTAAATAAAGTTTATGTTCTGTTCTGTTTGTATTAATAAAATATTATCTATATATGTTGTAAATAACTGTTTGTTTGTGTATTATATTTTTTTTAAATAAAGTTTATGTTCTGTTCTGTTTCTATTAATAAAATATTATCTATATATGTTGTAAATAAAGTTTATGTTCTGTTCTGTTTGTATTAATAAAATATTATCTATATATGTTGTAAATAATTGTTTGTTTGTGTATTATATTTTTTCAAATAAAGTTTATGTTCTGTTCTGTTTGTATTGATTACTTTTCCCCTACTACTATTATAATCTAGTTTTTATACAAAATGATTAAATATATATATTAATTGATTCATTTCATCATTTAAATGCTATTAATATATCGGTTTAAAATACAGTACATATTCTGAGGCCAATTTGGTAAAGGGCCGAAACGTCCGGGGCCGAAACGTCTTGGGTAGTTTGGGGCCGATACGTCTTGGGGCCGAAACGTCTCGAAATCGTCTCAATAGATTTCAATAAAAACGGTGTAGCAGCGATTGCAGGCAGCTATGGAGACAAAACTAAAGCATGTCAATTAAAAGCGGCTAATATTATTGTAAAACGAACATTAACAACGAAAGCCAAATTCCGTCACAAAAGAATATCGTGCCATGAACATTTATGCAACTGATGAAAATGATTAAAATGACTCCATTTAATGACAATATTTATATATTTATGAATGGCTTCATATACCATTTTAGTGAATAGAAATCACTTCAGTGATACGATAGAGCTGGCATGTTTTAACCAAGTGCTTTAGGGTTACAATTTCTTTGTTTTGTAAATATTTGATTTCAACACGTATATAGAAGTTGTTCTGGTTAGAGAGATTATTCCGACACTGAATTATTTATGTTATGTAATATCTTAATCATTTTTGTGTTTATTTAAGATTTTGACCAACCTTAACAAAGTTTGGTTCACCGATATAACGACACACGACAAAATTATTTACGAAAATGGACTCTGGTACTTTTTTAAGATTTTGATTCATTTACTTTTTACTTTTCATATTATTTATTTATTCCTTTTTGTGATTGATGTTGTTTTATTGTTGTTGTTGAGATTTTAACCATTTTTGTAAAAAAAACTTTCGCAAGTCAGTGGCTAGTGATCAAGACAATTCTAACTACCTTCTTCAGTGGAATAAAAAGAATGCTTTGAGGCAAATAATAGAGATCAACAAAAAGACATTAAAATATGTTACCAAATTTCCAAAGAATATCAAAGTCTTCCACCTCCCTCTCTCAAATATTACTAGGTGTCCATGTGATTGATAGCAAAAGAAAAAGTAAAAAAAGAACACATTGTCGGGCATATTTATGTGTCGTAAGTTATCTCTCCATACAACAAGTACATATTGAATTAAATCCCTGTAATATATTTAGGTAAATAATAGTTAGTAGCATTTTCAAAGTTATTATTTCATGATTTCATTACCAATCTGATTTTATAGACGGAACTTCACATATATGTATGGATCAGTTATTTACCTGCCATTTTTCCCCGTAATAGATTATGAAGTAAACAAATAATTTAGGAGAATAAGGTTTCTTTCATTCAACTTAAAAATACAAAAATAAACACATTTAGAGTATATTTTTGTAATAAATTGGGTGTGTTATTTGTTCAACAATATGATTTTCTTTTGTATGAAAGGTCATATTATAGTTTAATAGCTGATTTTGTGTAAAATTCAATGTAAAAATGTTACTGATTGATAAACAACTTTTGTCTTTCTTTCGTGCTTGATTTAATAAGATTTGTTCGGTTTTAAGTCACAACGGCATGGGACTTATGGTGACTTTTCAGTATACTAGCGGAGGATATATTTTAGGTGTTTCTTTTGTGCATAAGAGGGCACATAAGTAGATCATTTGATATCCAGTAAGTTTACTCGAGAGTTAAAAAACATGTGTTATTTCAAAAAATATGATAAACAAGATCAACAAGGAAAGGCGGCGTCCAATGAACGCAACCCCCATATGACCCAGCAACTAGAACCAAACAAAAACAGGACAGGGCAAAGACAGACCACGGACATGTTAATCATTAAATGATAAATTTGTAACTGATTAGGAATTCAAAGAAAATAATAATAGGCCCACAAAGGGGTAGGGGACAGGAGACCGGGGGAAGGGGGGGGGGGTAATCAGAGAAATAAAAACTAGAGGCAATGGGGAAGATACTTACCGTAGACGAGAAAACAACAAGGGACACAAGCAAAAGTGTCACCAAAACAGTATGAAACAACATAGACATACATCTAAGGAACACAGTGGGGCGCCGCCTTGGAACGGTCAGCAGCATAATAATGACTGCTGTGGAGTTAAACCGGTTAATGGTGCACCAAACCTCGCTCTTAGCCCCACCATGTCCTATTAACGAGACAGTGTAAATGAAATGTATCCCCGCCAAGTGAAATTCTAACAGTTGTCATGGTTACAAAAGGTTAAATAAGTAAAACACTAAAATGATCATGTAGAAACATATAAAAGTAAACCCAATGACCATAACAAAAGTACTCAATGTCCTAAAGGAAGACAGAGCAACAAGAAAATCACCTACAAGGGCCCGGCGAAGCAAGGCAGAAGACGAACATTAAGACAATTCAGTCCCAAAGGGCTTTACGAACTATCCATCATAGAGTCTCCCACTTGGTCCGTCAGATGCAATCAAAAGAGGAAAGCGTAGTGTCCAACTGTAAAAGGGTTGAACACTAAACATGCAGTATGTCTTAAAATAGTAGGGTCATAACCTCTTTTAATAAAACGTTTAATGATTTTAGTAAAAACAGCAGAAAAATTACCATGACCCAAAATCTTACGAAGTTTGTAAAATATGATAAACAAGATCAACAAGGAAAGGCGGCGTTCAATGAACGCAAATCACATCTCCATAAAAACAGGCTGGCTAATCCTTTGTCGCAGAAGAGTTTTTAAATCACTATTGAATTTAGAAATTAAATCAAAGTTACGATTGTAAAATTTAGTAAAATATTTCCGTAATTTATGATAGCGGTAGCCCTATTTTAGAAGCTTGCCGGTAATAAAAATAGTCCGCTCGTTGAAATCCTTTACGTTGCTACAAGCTCTAGCGAATCTAATTAACTGAGAAA